TATGTGTTCAGCCGTTTCGTCTTCCACACAGCAGAATCGACAGTCCGTTTGTTGGTTCAGTCCCATCCTTCTCAGATGGTATCTTAGACGACAGTGTCCCAGCAGTCCTGTCAGAATTCGCAGGTTACCACTGCTCCATTCTAGGATCTGCCTGGTTATATTTTTCGATGGTTTAGGCAGAAACGCCTTCGAATGGTTTAAACCTGGTAATTCAGACCAGTACGTGAGTCTCTTTCCCTCCGCCCAGTCCGAGATTGTTGTTTTGGCCACACTTGTGGTGATCCCAAAGTATGGTTCTGGTCCTATGAACACAGATTCGGTTCCTGGTTTGACGAGGATGTCGGCTTTCTCGTTGCCCTCCACCCCCTGGTGTCCAGGCACCCACACCAAAGAAACTCTGTTGTTGGCACCCAGGCACAATTTTTTTCCCGGTAGGAAAAAAGCACTGAACACCGAAAATTTGATTGAAAAAGCGTATAGGTGATATGCTTGTGTTGACTCTGCGACAGCTATAGAACTGAACTCAGTTTTCTTTGTATCTCGAATAATGACGTAGAAAGAAATTATATAGATTTCCGAAAATTCACTTTTCTGATATACTCAACTGAAAAACTAGGAGAAATTCTTGAATGTTTCGAAGGTTGTTGGTATGACCGTCTGAATTCGCAACTTTTTCCCCTTTTAACCGAATTTGTATCTCATAGATGAAAACCCAAAGTCATCTCCACAACCTTTATTAGAATGATCAAAGATCAATCTCAAAGGAACATGTTTAGGGCTTATATAAGCCCATCATCAGCCAATAGAAAATATTATAGTTCTAAAAAAATCAGTGTTGACTTAGGATATAAATGCAAGAATTACTCACTACTTATACATGGAAATGAAAAAAGTAGGCATACAAATACTATAGTTAATGATAGTGCAAACAAGGAAATATGCTCCATGATCTGGAAAACAATTGAATTCGAATATGAACAAAAACTGAAGAATCCTGAAAAACCAAGGATCCAGGTTGGTGGTTTCAAGGCAAGCATGGAGATAGAGTACTGTTAACCAATCTTGTTTCCGTTTCCAATCTGACATAGTGTTTGTTCTTTGGTATTGTGTGCTCACTGCTCAAATCATAATATTTAACTGATGTTCTATGATCTGCTTGACTTTTGACATTTGAAATTTTCTGACGTCTGTCATGTCAATTTTTATAACCTTCAGTTTCACGCACATGTGATTCCTTCTCTTCAACAGGTTAATTCTGATACCTCATCAAACTTTCAGTTTGATTTTTCAAAGTTTAATTATCACCTTTTGGTAATTCAAGGGCACGTCGGCCCTTGTAAAATATGAACCCGACCTTCAAACGGCATAAATTCATATTAAAATAAATTTATAACATAATTTTATATTATTTCACAGTGACAGTAAGTTTTTCAGGTTTCCTCACTTTTTCTTAATATTCTAAATCAATTGTTTACCATATCATGGAGCATATTTCCCTGTTTGCCCTGTTATTAACTATACTATTTTTATGTCTACTTTCTGCATTTCCATGTAAATACTGAGTAATTCTTGCATCTATATCCTGAGTCAGTACCGATATCTCTAGAACTATGATACTCTCTATTGGCTGATGATGGGCTTATATGAGCCTATATAACATGTTCCTCTACGATTGATCTTTGATCATTCTAATGAATGTTGTGGAGATGACTATGGGTTTTCATCTATGAACTACACTACTCCACTTTGAGTTACCATGGACTTCTTCCAAAGACTGAATTCGCATCTCTTGTCGTTTCCGAGATCCCCATGCTGTGCAATCATCTCTTACACATAGTCATTTACCTCAAGAGCTGCTCCCAATCTCAGAACTGCTACCCTATAACTATGGAATTTATTTATTTATTTATTTATTTAATGAAAATGGGATACAAACAGGCAGAAGCCCAAGACTGCATCCACTAGTTACGCAGAATACTCTGATGCTTACATTTTACAAAGTTAATATCACAATAATATTAAACATTCAGTACCTAAAAATAAAACAAAAATAAATTCCGAATTCAGATCAATCAGACGAAAATATGGTTTCTAATGAGTGCCCTGAACTGATTCAATGATGTACAATGTATATCTACGTTGCTGCAGTATTTATTAAAATTATCACTCATTCTACTCATTGGCGAGTTCAGTCCCAAATTGGTATGACAAAAATTGACATTCAAAAATATTTTAAGTCTTGTGGGTCTAGATGGTACATGGAATGATATGAGCGATAACAACATAGAAGAACTAAAATGATTCCTCATTATTTTATAGATGAATAATAAATCAGACATAATTCTACGTTGCTCCAAGGTTATAAGTCCAAAAGAGCGTCTGGTTTGGTTAATACTCTCTACAACGAATGAATTGTTCACTCTAAAGTTCAGAAATCTCACAAAATTATTTTGAACTCTCTCCAATCGGACTTTGTGGTTGGTATAATAAGGACTCCAAATGACACTTGCAAAACATAATCGGCTATATACGTAGGCATAATATAATGTTTTGATTGAATTTTGAGACCGAAAATATTTACAAGTTCTTTTAATAAAACCTAACATTCTATTGCATTTGTTAGTAACATAATCAATATGCATTGCAAAACTCAATTTGGAATCGAAAATAACTCCAAGGTCCTTAATATAAGATACTTTTTCCAAATGGGTACCATTCAGACTATAATCAAATGTAATAGGGTTCTGATTCCTAGCAAAGCTTATACTGCAACATTTCCTTGAGTTCAAAAATAATCTATTCTTTTTACAATACACATCTAACCTATCGAGATCGTTCTGGAGTTTCATACAATCGTCCAACGACATAATTCTTGTGAAAAGTTTCAGGTCATCAGCATACAACAAAAATTTAGAATCATGGAAGCATTGATCGATGTCATTAATGAAAATAATGAATAATAAAGGTCCAAGATTTGACCCTTGGGGCACCCCCGAGGTAACTATAATTGGGTAAGAGTTAAATCCATTGATACTAATGATCTGAGACCTATTGAATATGTAAGATGAAAACCATCGTAATATATCACCATGCATACCAATTTCAGCAAGTTTCATCAGCAAAATATTATGATCAATCTTGTCAAATGCCTTGCTGAAATCTGTATAGATAGAGTCAGTTTGAATACGATTATCGAGTGAATCTGATATAAACTGGTTATAAATCATAAGATTGGTTTCTATGGATCTTTTAGAAAAGAATCCATGTTGTTCTTCCAGAATTATGTGTTTGAGACTGTCGAAGATTAGATCATATAATATGCTCTCGAGGATTTTACTAAAAATACAAAGTTTACTGATACCTCTATAATTAGTGACATCTCTTTTGTCTCCAGAATTCTTGTATATTGGTACAAGAAGCGCAGTTTTCCATAGATCTGGGAATTCACCTTCAGAAATAGATTTATTATAAATCAGTGTAAGAGGAGTGCGAAGACTATAGGAGCATTGTTTCACAAAGTAAGCAGGAATATTGTCAACACCACATCCCTTCCTATCATCTATGGAGTTCAATTTGTTGAGAACTATTTCCTCAGTGAGTTCTACTCTATCCAATAATGTAGAGTTGGAAGTATTATTATATGTTAAACGGGTTTGTTTAACAGGTTCATAAACGCTTTTGAAATATTTCGAAAATAAGTTAGTGATCTCAGAACCACCTGATGCTTCCTCACCCTCAAAAATGACAGAGGAAGGTATGCCAATATTATGCTTACTATTCGACGCAAATCGCCAAAACTTCTTGACGTCCACCAGTATTGCATTTTCAATTTGAGTGAGGTAATTTTGATAATCTTGTGAAATTAGTCGTTTACTCCGCTGTCTCAACATTCTAAACTCAATATAATCATTGTAATTCAAGAAACGTTTCCATTTTTTATGTATTTTGACCTTTTCTCTGACGCAATCAATGGTTGTATTTGAAAAATAAATTGGAAATTTCCTGTTTTTAGTAACTACTTTGGGAACAAAATCCTGTATGCATTTCCTTAGAACTTCGTAAAATTTATCGATAGCACAGTTTAAAGATAAGTTAGCAAGAATATCATTCCATATGATATCATTCAAGTGATTGTTAATCTCTACATAATTAGCTTTTTTAAAATTGTAAAACTCATTTTGATTTCTCCATAGTGCATTGATTCGTGAAAACTCGATATGAAACTCAATAGGTGGGTGATGAAGGTCCAGTTTAACTAAAGACAGGTCACTTCCAATTAGATTAGAAACTCCATTATCCAAATTACAAAAAACTAAATCTAATAGCCTTCCATTATGATTTTTCACTGAGTTGAACTGAAGCAATTCACCAGAGGAAAGCATGTCAATTAAACTCGAGCTTTTTTCATCAACATTAGTAGGTAAGTAAGATAAATTATTCCCTCTATGAACCCAGTTAATGTGAGGCATGTTGAAATCGCCATAAATTAGAATTGGATCCCCCGAAACTCTTTCAAGAATAAACTGAAGCTTAGTTGTGAAACAAGCCCTAGCATAATCGTCACGAGGTGGAAGATATACACAACATAAATGTAGTTTTTCGTTCCGTGTATGAGAATACAGGGTAATCCAAGTGTCTTCAGCATCACTCTGCCAATCAAGACGCTCCACGACATTCAATTTCGTGCTAACGGCAATAAGCGATCCCCCTCCATCTGACTTGTTGCTTGAAGATGATTCACGATCACGACGAAACACATTATAATGATCTTGACAAAAAACTTCACCGTCCAGAATACTATCATTCAGGAATGTTTCAGTTAGCATATAGACATCGGCGTGTATTACTGTAGAATTCAATTTACATTCTTGAGTTTTAGTTCTGAGTCCTCGTACATTCTGACAATATACTAATATATCCATAGCGAACTTATAACTTTTGTATATTTTGCACTGGTGAGATCCTTACAAAGTAAGTAGGACTTGAGAGTCCCGAATAACTTTGACACGAGATCTCTCGTCCTTCCTCATGAAAATGTTCCCGTTTTTCACCCAAACAAACTTGAAATTTTTCGTTCTGGCTGCCTCTTTTGCTTCTCTCAGAAGAGACTGATTATTCGAGGTCAGGTGCTCATTTATATAAACAGATTCGATAATTTCGTTTATTTTGATTCCATTTTTGGGATTAGAGCTATTTTTCCGTTTCTGTTTAGCTAGAGCTATAACTTGATCTCTCAAGATTTTTGATGCAAACCCAACTACAATGTTTTTTGGCTTTCCAGGAACAGGTTTCATTGACTGTACTCGATTAGCGAATTCGACGTTGTCCTTCACCTCGACTCCGAGAAAGTTCGATATTTGTTCGACGATAGAAATAAGGTTTTCATTGTTATTTTCAGGAACTCCTTGTATCACAATGTTCTTCGATCTGGAGTGCTGCTCTAGTTCATTGACTCTTGAATTGAGATTAGAAATTTCTTTTTTCATGTTATTGTTATCACGCTTTAATTCCTCAAATTTTCTCATTAGGACTTTAACATCATCCAGAGATTTTTCAAAATCAGATATTTTATCAGAACAAAATGAAACTGATTTTACTAATTCATCTTGTTGCATTCTGAACGATGCAATTTCATTTTTGAATTCCATGAGCGCAGTTGATATATCGATGCTTGGACCAGCGTGAGACCTGCCAGGGAAATAATTATCGACAATAAATGGAATATTCATATCCATACCTAAGTATTACATCATGATGCACCTTCCGCTTTCGCTTCCAAACAGTAGCAAATCGGTTTCTAATCTATCCTTCCGTTATCTACATAATGGTAATGAACTAATAATAATACTAAATGATGAATAGTGAACACACCCGACGTTTACACGGGTGTAATGAACCGTGTTCTACGCCGGTGCTAATGAGAGTAGTTTTATCAACAAAGACATAGCATATCGACCATTAAAATCGTTTATCTTTGTCTTAATTGAGTCGACGAGGTAGTCATTAACTTTATCAATTGAGTAATAAATAACGTTGGTCGAATTCGATGCGGTTATGTGCGTTCGTAGAAAAGACATCAATACTTTGGCAGGTGCGACGTCAGAGAAACCGTTCGGAATTAATAACACTGTATTATGTCCGTTATGAATTTTCAGTGCAAATAATAGCAGACAATTTATATGAATTGTTGAAGATTTGATCCAAGTCCTCCCGTAAATCTGTTCATGTATATGAGAAACACATGAGTTGCTCCGCAGTCAGCAGTATACATACAGACTGAAGAGTAAAGGTAACGTGGAACGAACAAATAGTAAGTGAGAACGTATTCGCTTCCTGAACGAGTTCCTTTGGGCAAGTAGCACTTTTCTAGCCTAGTCCGGGAAGTACGTATTTCCCGGACCAGACCGCAAAGAACTACATCTACTTAGTATGAAAATCTAATGCAGTTGATCATATAACTGAACTTCAAGCTGAACCACATTGAATTTGAAAATGTTTTTTTTTTGTGACGGAAAAAAGTTCGGAATTTCACCTCTGTTGACAGGATATAAAATGTCACTTTTCATAAATTACTTTTTTCCTTGCTTTCTTCCCACGGAAAAAAGTGAGTGAGCTAAAATTTACTATCATGATGGTCAGAATTTCACGTTTTATCCCTTGACATTGACATTGACTATGTCAACGTCTTGTCCATGCTCTTTGACACTATTTTCAGTGTTTTCTAACCAAACTTGTTTAGATTCATACACGTGCTGGCTGTTTGCATCATCAATTTCATTAATATTTTCCGTTAAGTAGCGCTTTCATAAGGGCACGGGGAACCCCATTTTAAAAAACCCATTAATTTATGGTGTTGTCAAAAAACAAAACTTCTTGGTATTTTGGTATATGAAATTTTCATTGAAAACCAATAGTATGCGCTCTCAGGGCACGGGGCCCTTCATTTATTGAGAACCCGTTTTTCTGTACCTTTGGAATTCTTGGCTATGGGCATTGACAATTCAAGAAATAGTAGCATCGAAAATTCTCTCGACTTCAAGTAAGTCTAGCACAAAATAGGTAATTCTTTCACTCAAATATCATTTGTTTTTGGGTGCCAACAACAGAGTTACTTTGCTGTCGGTTCCTGGACATCAGGGGGTGAGGGCAACGAGAAAGACGGCATTCTCGCCAAACAGGGAACCGAATGTGTCTTCATAGGACCAGAACCATACTCTGGGGTTTCCGCAAGTGCGGCCAAAACAACTATCTCGGACTGGGCAAAGGACATAAGACTCAGGTACTGGTCTGAATCACTAGGATTACCATATTCGAAGTCGTTTCTGGATAAACCATCGAAAAAAAAAACAGGCAGATCCTAGAATGGAGCAGGAAAAACCTGCGAATTCTGATAGGACTGCTTACGGGACACTGTCGTCTAAGATGCCTCTTATGAAGGATAGGTCTGAACCAACAAGTGGACTTTCGGTTCTGTTGTGTGAAAGACGAAACGGCTGCCCTTGCTCAGAGAGGCTGAAGTTCGACATATTTGGCTTTACCAATTTAGAACCTATCAATTTCAGACTAATCTCACTTCATTCAACCATGTATAGGTGGTATATTTATTTGTGAGTATAGTATCTTAGTATCTATCATATCAGAAATATCGGCAAACAATAATTTCGGATTGTTGAAATTTCATAAGCTATTTTGGATTCTTCGTCACACAGATTGTATGATGGATCGTTATTCAAATTTCCATTCCAGCCAAGATGGATGGCCAAATATTATGTGGAAAATATACTGATATCACTACACCATCCATGGCGATGAATTGACATTAATCAATTGAAATCTCAAATCTACATATTTTTATTAGGTGATTATTCATGAAAATATTTATTACAAACTTTTTTTTATTGTTGATTTATTTGACAATATTTGATTGGGGGATTATAGGAATCAATTTTAATAACTTCTGCGAATTTGGAAACCTCATTTCAAGTTCAGAATGTGTCGTGATTTGTATAATTGATTTTATAGTACGAGAGATGATAACCAAAACTATGTTTCATAGCAGCCCGGCAAAATCGTGTGAAATCGATAGATTAGATGATCCCTTTAGAACCGACTGGTGAGTAGTGTGTATCACTCAGAAGTATAGCATCTCCGCAGGGCGCCATTTCTGATGTGTTCAAAAAAATCGTCTGATATTGAACATGTACATAGATTTTGTTATTTCATCAATGAAATTTCTGTTTTCAGATATTTTGTGCGTAGCGTTTGACCTGAGTAGGTATTTTCAAAGATGTCAACAATTCAGAATTAGGTAACACATAACAGCTCGGTTCATTTTCATTTTAAATCATTAGAATGGATGCCTAGAACACAAAAATACTGTTTCAGACATGCCTATGAAGAAAAAATGCGCCGGAGTCGCCTGGCAAATACTCCGGCTCCTGTTACGCTCCTGTGTCAAGAACGGCCATTTACGTGTCACGTCCCTGTTTCTCGAAGAAAATATGAAAGTTGATGTTCTATGACATAAGTGACGATGACAACGAAAACGAGTCAGACAACGATTGAAAATTGGAATTTTTTGTGATTGCCAATAAACAGTATTTTTAAAACTTTATCCTCGTACTATATATTCATTCCGTACAATTCATTTTGAAATTCCTTCGATGTGATGTTTCACAGATGCAAGTGACCTCTCATTTCAATATTGAATCTTTTATTTTAATTATGTATACGTGTTAATGAATTTGAAGTGATATATCTAAGTACTGCAAATTGAAGAGTTGTCTCATTATAACTTACATGCTACATTCAATTTGTCTGATATATTTTTTCCACATCATTGATTTTTCCTCATCAATTGACTTGACTTTACCTATAAAAAAAATTTTCAGAGGGTTTGCTGTAATTTTTTATTTTTGTCTCATTTATTTTTATTGGTCTCCGGGGTACGCGCTACAATCTTGGTGTCTGAAAACTGTGATATTGTTCTCAGGACTACTATCCAACTACATTCCGGAAATCAAGTAAGTGGATTTCTGGGTACGGGGTCATAATTGAATAAAATATTGAATTTTCGTTTCTAATGTCATTATGGGTCCTCATAAGGTCCTTTGTCATCCCTGAAATTTGTATACCCTAATTTTTTTTTATTTTCATTTAATCTTTGTTTATTGAATCCCAATTTTTTGCTGTTTTTGGAGCGCGGGGAAATTTTGTGAACAACCATCAATTAAAAATTTATACATGATCCGATTGGTTTCTATGATACATCATTTGAAAGCTAAGAAGGGCTACTTTTCGATTGTGCAATTACTTTTTAAGACAAAGTCGTCCATTTTTCAATAAAAGTAGAAAAAGCGGGGTCAAGGAAAAAACGTACTTTTTTTCGGTGTTTTTTTTCTCCGTGCTCTTTATTTCTAACATTTTGACACCTTAACTAGTGTAACGGGGAAATTCCCACCTTTCCATCGATGTATATAAGTCATACCTTTGATATCCCGGGAAAAAACCAGTATATTTAAATGTACACGCTATAATTTATTACTTTCGTTCCTCCGTCGTTCGCCGCGTGTGTGCTATACGTGGCGCTCTGGTCGTCTGCTACAAACCATGCGGCCACGCAGGGTATGATAGCAGCAGAATTCCTCTTTCACATGAACTTTGAATCATGAGAAAATATGCATTTTTAACAAAGTTATTGAATAATTTGTCCCCCCGCCGATGTGTAAATACACGGACTGTGCTCTCCGGCATACAACACAGAAGCTCATTATTCGAGGTGCGTTTCGTGCCGTTTTTCTCGAAACCGGGCAAATTTTCGAGAAAAATGATAGGGACCATTTTTGACGAAAATTAACTGAGTTTCAATTTTTATCTGAACCGAAAATCTCTAACTGCCATATTTTAGGAGATATTGGCTGAAAACCTATGTTCCTGGTCTTTCGGGGCCATTTTCTCCGCCATCGCACGCGTTTTCCAGTCAAACTTTGTCTCATGTTTAATGAGGTACCAAAAGCTACTTCCAACCGGAAGATGAAAATAGTGCGTAATTAACGTTAACTTTGCCTTTTTTTCCTCCTTCATTTATTGGACTATACCGGATTAACTTGAAAGGGTTGATAGCAAATACATATTATTACCTACTAAGAAAACAAATTCAACAGTGGTGAACTATTGAGGTCTAATTGATCGTTAAGTGAAATGTTAGAATTTTTGAGTTTGTTGATTTCTAATCATTCAAAATGATAGAGTTTCATTCTTCCATTATCTACGTGTAGAATTTCGAAATTATCATCGAAACTATATGGTTTTCTTCTAATACAGCGTGTCTCACTTTAAACGGCGCCCCTTTATATTTCTGTTATTAGTCATACGATTCCAACCAAATTTGGTGTGGTATGAATAACCATCAATATGATCAGTTTCACAGGGATGCACGTTATTTTGGACAGTGCCGTGCGTGTTTATTGAACTAAAAAGGGGTCGATTTTTCATAAAATCATATAAGGCATTTTTTTACAGGAAATCTAACCTCATATTATTATTCCTCATGCTTTCGAACCTCCATATGCCAAAAATCACTCAAATTCGAATTAACAGGATTGACTTCACTTCA